TGACAATATACCGCGGTGATTCGAATGTTTAGTAGTTGATTCGGAGTCTACGAGTGTTATAATTATTCCCATGGCTGTCCATTCAGACACATCTCTTTCTAATGATGGTTATCAGGATGTACCAGAAACATGTGACCTGAACTATGTTTGAATGTATCGTAGCAACTCTTAATGAATAGTCTTATAAAATAGTTTCAAGATCAATTTTAAATAAAACAAAAGGTTGTATTTTAGTATTTGTGTGTTTTTATTAGCGTATTGTTTAATAATTAGCGGAATATAGGTATTTCTTTTATATTTGGTATGTTAATGTATCATTAAATGCAGCATACTATATATTCTATGAGAATAAAAAAGTTCTCTAGGATTATGGATAATATCAGGTAATCAGCTAACTAATATAATTTTGGTTCAAATTTCGTGATAGAGTCTAACCATAACTTTATTTTCTATCGCGCTATATTGCATTATATTTTTTAAATACACTGTTTTACACTGTGCACCGGAAAGTCCTACTACCTTCGGTTTGGTACCAATGCTAGAAAAGGTTTCATTTGATTATACTACATTTTTGTAGCATATATTATAATAAATGTAAAAAAAAAATCACATGTCCTTTTAATGTCCTGGTATCCATCACAGTTCTTTGCCCTTCCTAGGTTAGTGTATTACTGAAGTTATATAATACTGTATTTTAACTATTCGAAGTGTAGACATTTTAAGTGTTAATTGTATTATTCGGTGGGGATACCCATTATTAATCATATTTTTATTTAATTAACTTGTAAAAATATTTTATGATACATTATTTTGCAATATGATCATTTACTGCTTCAAAGCCGTTTATTCCGGGATAAAATATTAATTAAATTATTAAAGTAATCAATTTTTATGAGAAGTTTTAGAAAGATATATTGACTTTGTATTACCATTTGTACAAAACATTGCTTATTTTGTTTACTTTAAACTACGTATGTTGCAGAATATTATAGTTTTTTAGTAATCACAATAATATACTATGTAATTATTATTTTAATGAATAGATACGAGTAATTATGGCAGCTATTAATATAATATGGATATCTCTACTGAAAATGGAATGTAGGTCTAGAAAGCTAGAACTAGTTTCCAAATGTGAATTGTGCCTAAATAATGTGTAAAAACTAAAGTAACTATTGGTAATTATTGTTTGGGGAGTTAAAAGAAAAATATTAAAGCAATATAAAATGCACGTATAAAAGGCGTTAATCTGAAATACAGTTGGAAAAAAGAATAAAAAAAAAAAAAGAAATGCATTTCTTAATAATTTAATATGAATGAACGTGAAGTTCATACTTTTCGGATTAGCGTTTTTTTGCAATTTATTTTTAATTAAGTTTAAATAAAATTAATATTTGTGTTAAAAATAATATAAAAAATTTAGATGATCAATTTGACTATTAGCTTATTATATTATTGTGGTTCAGACATGTAATTTGTGTTGTGTAATTTTAAAGTTACTATTAATGCTTAAATATTTTTAAGATTTTAGATTTTAAATGGACTTATTACATTCAGGAGTGTTATGTTTATAATAATAATTTCATTATTACATTGTATGTGTATACAGGTGAAAATTCGATTAAACAAAATTAATATAATTTTAATAATATTTATTATACTGAGTGTAAATTTTATTTTTTTTTTTTAGGGAGTAAACTGAACACTTTTTTGTGAAAAATGGGTTCAAAAGCGACACAATTTTTTTATTTCCTACTTCTTATACTGACAGCTAGATGTGGTGACTATATTAAAGTGAAAATGAGAGGCATAAAATATTTTGTCGTTTATAAATCCATATTTATGTGGGGAATGTTTAGTTTCACTGCTTTAACACTGGTTTAAGTGTATGTTAATATAATTTTGTTTATGCTCTGAAAGTATGAAGAACTTTAATATTTCTAACGGGGTATTCCCGTGACTGTTCCATATTTATTCTAGCTTGTAATTTTGAATTAATCTTTATAAGTGAAATTACTTGTATCTATAAAAATTTTATGATTCTATTATTGCACCTGTATACACGTGAGTTTAACTACGTATATAATATTTTATGTACATGTTTGTGGTTTATCTAATAATATTAGTTTATATTATGCTTTAAACTGTAGTCAGATAGTACATATAGAAAATGATCATACCGTGGGTCAGTACTAGGATTGTAGAGTGGATTCGAATAAAAATGGAAACGGTTCATAAATCAATACCTATTCCCTTTATTCATTGATCTGTCAATAGATAAATAGTGGGAATAAGAATTGTCTGACTCGAATTGGTTGAAGGGAGTTATTACATTGTCGTACGTAGTCTTGTCGTTGTAGTTCGTACTAAGCTGAAATCAAATGATAATAGTATTCGTGAAAAAGAATAATTTATCTCAAGGAGCGTAGTTGAGATTTCAAATTGGTTGAACCGTTAAGACACTAAAAGATGATAAGCAAACTCACTTTTATATTCATGATATTATTAGTTATGACTTTAAGTTCGTATCATTATATCCTAAAATCCAAGGTGTATAACAAATTTTATGATAATTTGTAACGCTGTCTTCTTCTTATGGTGCGAGATTCATGTTTAGCAGTATGTGCGTTGGGTTCAGCCATTAGATGTTCAAAAGTAACAAAAACTCTCATTTTTGAGTATTAGTAAGGATGGTGTGATAGCTTCCGAAATATTGCCATAGTCGTAGAATACTGACGGATCTGACGAAGATTACATATAAAGATCCGTCAGTATTCTACGACTATGACGATATGAATTTGCAATGAAAGCCCACGAGACGCTACTGTCCTGGCACCGTGTAAAGTTTAGTGTTTCATTTTAAAAGGCGATAGGTATAATTTTAATTAATAATACATATACAAGTTATTTGTTTATAATAATTCATATATAAGTTATTTCTCAAGGTGAAGTCGAAATCATTAGCTTCCTATTATGGGAGTGTTTTATCAGTGAAACCGAACTTTTTTTTTTTCAAAGGAAAATTGGTCACGAGTAATATTTTGCCCTTCATACCAATATGTCGCATCCAATTGTTAACTTAGTATGGAAACCCCAAAAGTTTTAGTCGTTTTTTCATTAACGGAATTTCTGGCATAATATATTTTATAGCGTGGCTTAGGTTTTTCATTTTACATGCGATCTATGATTTCGATTTCACTCTGTATAAGTGGAACGTTTTGAAAACCTATAATTGGTTATATGGCCGCAAATTCGGAACAGTAGTGCTCAAGCGTTTTGACTGTTTTGTAGATAGATAGATAGATACTCTTTATTGTTTCCTCCAAAAGATTACAATAGTAAACTTATTAGAAATATAAATAATTACAAGAAATAATCACAATGAGAAAACAATGGGCGGCATTATCGCTGTTTTGTATTGCTTGTACTTTATCAGTTTTTATTTGAAAAGTATGTTTAATATAATGACCAATTCGAGCAGGCGAGCCAAGGTCAAGGAAAAATGTCTTCCTAAGAATTATTATTTAATCTGCCAGCACTACAGCTTGGTAATATCCAGCACATGATCTCTGTTTATTAGTGGAATGAGTTAGTATATTTCGATCTTAGCTTCGGTAGCTGTATTCCGAGTTTGTAGTCACTTGTATTGGTATAATGAACATGATTCGCCTATATCAATCCAAGACAAGTTTATTTATCTTACGGAGTAGCGTGCACTCTCAAAATCTCTCTCAAAATTGTTTGTCTCTCGATTCAGAATTTGCATCCTCGACTCCCATATAAGATTTCCTTCTCTTTAAGATTAACTCCCATATTAATATAATGTAAAAATTTTTTTTTCTTCTTCTAAGGATTGGAAAATCAATATGTATTATATTTATCGATTTAGAAAGTATTATATATTGAAACATATTGTAAAATGGTAAGGGAGCTTGATCCCTGATTCTGTAAATAATGTTATATTAGAGCGTATAAAAAATTCAACACGATGTTTCGATAGGGCAGACTAACAAATGTTATCAATCGACACCTTTATGAAGCTATGATAAAATTTCTGTGATTTGATGTTTTTTTTTTTCTAAGAGATTCTTTATTCTATAGAATGTTAATGAAAAAGAAATTAATAGCAAATATTTTTCTTTGTAGCAAAAATATTATTGCTTTTTATTTGCTTTATAGTTAAATATAATATATATATATATATAGCATTATTGTTACAAAATGTGTTAAAATTGTTTGATTATTAGGTTTTATTTGAAACTATGAAAGGTCAAACGAAATTGCAAAGACATTCTTCCAAATTCTGGCCAAAAGGATATAGTTATGTAAAAATAAATATTATTCATGATTAATGGATTTTATTGTAATTTTTTTTTCTGTTGAAATATTATACTTTGAGTTATGCCATAGTGGAAGATTTTTCATCACCTATTATGTAAAAAACTATTTGCACAAAAGTAATACCTATTCTGTACAGTACAGTTTCTCCCGGTCGTTTTTAAGTTGAATTCATTATCTTTCACCTAAATATGTCAGAAAAAAAGAAATATACCCACACTAAGTTTTTTTAATGTTATTTTTACCCGGCTTGAGTTGTATTTGCATGTTACACAGTTGAGATACTTAATGATATATGATATAAGTAAATAGTTATATTTACGTGTAGTATGACTACCTGTCGTGTGACTACAAACTATGTATTCACATTATTATATTTTTTTATTTATACTGATTTATTTTTTGTATTATGAGCTCTGATGAAAAAGTACAGAAATCTAAAATCTAGCGATAGAATTCCTGAATTTGATTTTTTTTTTTATTTTTTATTAATTTTGAACTAACTTTTCCATATATAATATAAATCGCTATTTCGCCTATATTAATTGAGGGAGTTATTCAATTTTATTTCTTTTTACTCTGATTCATAAAAAAATAAATACTAGACATTACATTTATTTTTAATTTATTTTTGTTTATTAATTTAATGAAATTCTGATCAGGTGACTACACGTGGAGTTGCGGTAATTGCATGGTACAAGATCCATGGGATAGGTTTGCCTCTCCGCCGCTAGGGGGCAGTCACCCGGCGACCCCTCGTAACGGCTGCAGGCCAGGCGCGTGTGCCAACAGGGGTAGTTACAACAACTATATATCTGGTAAAGGACCCACGAGGGCAGGCAGAGGTGGTAGGAATCCTCCTTGGGCTCCAGGTTTTGAAGAGAGGTTTAAAGGCCAAAGATGCCGGAATGGACCATCGACGCCGTACTGGTAACTGTGTACAATATTTGGGCTCGAAACGTTCACTTTATGTGTATAGTTGTGATATTTGAATGTTGTAAACTTGTGCGGTATTTAAGAGATCGAATGAAATGAACGTTTTAGAAATAGGTTCTGTGGATGTATTCACATTTGAAAAGTCTTCTGACGTACCTATCGTTTTTATAAAAATTACGCTACTCGGAAAGCTAATAGTTTGACATCTAATGTCAAATGTCCAATTTGACGTTTAATGTCAAATCTGTACAAAAAGGTTTTATATGATAGTAACCAAATAGGTTAATTAACGTTTGTAACTACAGTTAATCTCTCGTAGAATCTTCTATGGAGCCGTGAATACGAATTACCAAGATCTTATGTAAAATTTTTTATTCAACTCTCATATTTTATGTTTACGCCATCTATTTTCTGATCGATGGATTCACAAAAAGAACTTATTTTTTTTTGTTAATTTATGCTTCTATGTTGGCACTATTTGTAAGGTTACAGATTAAATAATACGACTAGATACTTCAGTTCATAGGTAAGTAATAACAGAGGATAAAATGTACATTACGCAGATGCCTTAGAGCCTAGTTAACTTTATATAAAAACATTTTTTCATCCTTTAGCGCGTGACTTGATGCAAAGTCTATTAGTGCCAAAGGAAAAGTTGTTTTAATGTATAAAAGCAATTATATGATATTCATATACCTTGCGACACCATAAAACATGATATTAGTCCTCAGAAAGTGCAATGTTTAAGGGGTACGGTGGACTTCTCAGTTTTCTATTTCTTACTTCTATGATCTTAATGGTGTCGTTCATGTTTTTGGGCAACGGTTGCCGTTTTCCATTAAGCGGATCGTCAAATCGTTTAATTTACATAAATTATTTCCATAAAAAAGGATACTCTGTATATCTACGCCATGACTTTTCAATATATCTAGAACAATTCTTTGTGGCGGTCACTGCGGTGTTCCGTGTACTGTAACCATTAGCCATTTCCATGCATTATATATTTTATAATATAACAATCATGTATGTACAGTCATCACTTGTCTTGACTGAATCGATACAATGTAGATAGAAATCTATATTAAATATGTTTAGTTCATATGGGTATTTGGCGAATCGTACGTATCGTTTCTATGGAAAATAACAACCATTAGTTGCAGGGACGTAACAAGGGTAAGGCTAACGGGCGTATTATTAGGGACAGGTAAATATATAGCAATATCTATATATTTTAGTTACAATATATATTGGTCCATTAAAGAATATGTTAAAAGTTTGTTATCCCTTTCAGATCTGAACGATATGGGCGTGAGTTGTAACTTTAAAAAATTCTAAAACCGCGCGCAATTCATTTTTCCGCACGAAGCTGAAATAACATGATAGTGAGATTCTAAACCAGTCAATAAGAAATCATTTTAGCGGTTAGGTGGTGCAGTAGTCTCGTGCGTGCCGGCAAGATGGCTTGGCTCCAAAACACGAAAATATATTTAATCTAAAAGAAAAAAATCTTGGGTCTGAAAGGGTTATGCAAAAAATAATATTTGATAACAGACTTAACATATTTGAAAATAGATATCCAACCGCTGTGGGATATATGGAAATATGTGATGATTTATTTTCGTCGTCAGTGCCCAGAGGTATCCAATATATAGATATCAGATCGGTATCCATAATATTCATGTCTACTTTTCATTAAATGGATGATAATGGAATGGTAATTCTGTATGCGCTATCGGTATACGCTGTCCGGGTACCAGGTAGATATAATAGGTAAGGATGAAAACAGGTCAGTTCCCATTGTGATGAATTCAACAAGGATTAACCACGATGGTTTTCCAGGGTGAACCGCGTGGAGGTTGACCTGATATAGGCTTATTGCTAGCACTCTGCGTGTTCTACCGCTTGTACAACGGATTGTGCTCAGAGGAATTATTCAATATGATGTCTACGGCCACTTTCTACCATCGTACGGCTCGCCATCGACAAGGAGTGCATCCTCATACCCTGCAGTCTAAATGGTTGCGTGCAACGCGGTTTCAGAGATGTTTTCTCCCACGAACACTCTGGTTATGGAATGAGCTCCCTGCCGAAGTTTTCCCAAGAGACTACAACATGGGGTTCTTCAAAAAGGGGGTAAAGAGGTTTCTTCAGGGTCGGCAACGCGCGCGTAATACCTCTGGTATTGCAGGCGTTCATAGGCTACGGTAACCGCTTACCATCAGGTGGGCCGTATGCTTGTTTGCCACCTCAGTGGTATAAAAAAAGTGTCCTTTTAATACAATTTAAGTGTCTAAAGGGGAAGGGGGGATGTAGTGTAAAGTGAGGTACTGACCTGGATAATATTATGCCCTTGTTACGTACCTGATTGGTTGGCATTTAAAATACAACATTATAACGATAAGAGATTAAGAACACCAATTGAGTGCACATTATCAGTCTCATACCATTGGTATAGAGTGTTGTGACGTCATCATACTTACATTTTACGACTAGGAAGTCTTAGCTGACTGTTAGCATAATAATATTTATTGTATGAGTGAAAACCCATTTAATATTAAATATTATAATATCTATTTTGACATAGAAATCTTTTCCTATATTAAAAATGTTCAAGATAGGTAGAAAAAACTAGAGATGAAGAGAGAAAGAGACAGAAAATATTTCGGAGAGAGAATCGGTAGGTAAATACTGAAATTAAGGACAAGAAATAGAATTTACTTGTGCTATGTTTTTTTTTTCTCACATTAAGCTAGTATTTAGTCGAGTATTATATAATTGTATTAAGTCTAAGTTTAGCAAGTGGACAAATGTTGACTGTAACAATGATGATTTTTATTAAATCATAGGTATCATAGGTATGCAATATATGCATGCATCTCAATTAAAAAATCATTTTAAATTCATTACTGTACCGTTTATGGTATCATTACCGTATGGTATTTTTTTTATGGCAAAACAATGAAAACTCTTTGCTACTTGAGCATACATTCAAAATATACGTGAGTATATATATATATTTTTTTATTACAAATTGAATTAGGCGCTAAAGATCTAGTTCAGTTATATTCATACGATTTGACAATTGTTTTTTTTTAGTTTTTATTTAGACATTAACGAAGTTTGACTACATGTAGATGATAAATAATAATAACCTTGGACATGTTACACACAGCGTCATCTAGTATCAATATAAGCAGTTTTTTTTACTGGGTGATAATGGAATGGCAACCCCACCCGCGCTATCGGTATACACCGGCGGGGCACCAGTGAAGAAGGATAGGTGAGGATGAAGCAGGTCAGTTAGCCCATCGTGACGAATTCTACTAGAATTGTTTACGATGTTTTCCAGGGGAACCACGTGGAGGTTGACATAATAGGGTATATTGCTAGCAATAGGGCTGTCAAACTCCATTGGTAACAATCCCTTTCCCCTCAAGTAAGCAGTTTGTTCTAAGGGTACTAGATAATTGAGACATAGTAATTTTTTTTTATGTAAGCAAATACATACTGTACATAGAATACATACAGGTCAATACAAAAAGACATACTTTCGAATATAAATGCGTGTATTATGCGAGTATTGAACCTGTGACCATTCGGATGATGTGTTTCAAATAAATATATTCCAGTAGTGAAATTAAAATATAATATAATAAAATTTTAACTAGACAAAATATCTAGGAGATATTTAACTCTTGGAGCGTTTATGCATCATACTCTGTACCGACCAAAAATGTGGTACCGCGCACTAATGCAACAGCGTCTGTTGCATAACTCGAATTTGCAGCTTCGTTTTCATTAAATTTATGTAGGTAATTAATTTATATAGGTAATAAATCCATTTATCCATAACCTCTAATCGAAATTTGGTCATTTCAAAAATTGATGACGAAGTGGGCGTAGCGAGCTAGCCTAGAGCCGATCGCTCGTAATATGAGGGGTCGTAATAACACCAATAGATGCCAAAACCATTTGAAATTTTGTCTTTATGATTGTTCGTGTATCACGTAAAAACAACTGCACCGAATCAGATGCCATTTTACAGTAGTACCCCAGAAGGTCCAACTTAACCCATCTTTGCATAATGGTGGAAATTTCCATCATAACATTGAATGCCCAAAAATTATATAAAAAACATGTTCACTTTAAGTTGATCGTGTCTGGATACCTTTTTAATGTTCATTGCAGAAAAAAAAACAACTGTCAAATTTATTTTGTAACCATTTTTCCTTAAATTTTGTACATGGATTATATCATATTGATTTATTTCACCAATAAAAAAAAATAATGCAAAGAAGGGGTAAAAGCTGCTGAACGTTTTGTCTTGATACGCTATCTAAAAATGTTTTGCTTCGCTGGTGTTCCTAATTGAGAAATCACGCTTTTCGTAAGCAACGTGCAATTAGTAAGTTTAAAATATAAATTCTCTAATTCATTATTTATAAGCAAGTACTGTATAAGCAAGTAGTTTCGAACTCGACTGAGGTACTAGTTCAGTGTGAAGTGTGCCTTATCTTTTCTTTTTTTTTTTTGTAAGTAAGTAATAAGTCTTTGTAAAGTATTCGAAATGGCACATTGGTTTTATTTAAGAAAGTTCTTTAGTTTATGCATTTTGTTGGTGTAAATACTTTCACAAACTTTACGCTGTCTCAGTGTTTTAGGTGCCTAAGGTTTTTGTTTTTCAATTTACACGTAGTTTTATTCTCTTAATAGCTATTATTTACTTATATTTTTCTTCATTGTACATTTATTCGCATTTGTGTCCCTCTTTTTTTTTTTTTTTTAGAAATACGTGTCAACATTACTAGATTTAAATTTGTTTGTATTAATATTAGTTTTTTTTTTTCTCGCTATTTGTTTGTTTTTTTTTTAAAGAACTGCACACAGTTGGGAAGAGTGTTACTGTTTGAAACCTAGTGGTAATGTTTATTAATTATTAAGTTGTGCGGGGGCACCAGTAAATACTGGTAGGTGGGTATGAAAGCAAACCAATGACTATGAGTCAGCAGGGTTCAAAGGAAGACCGTGTGGAGGTCGACTGGGTTATTATATTGCTAGCAATGGTCTCATTGCTAACAACCCCCCCCCCCCCCCTCCGCCGCTCACACTTACTGATCAAGTAAATACTCATCTAAACTACGTTTATTTATGAAAATTATGTAACAGTCTTTCCAGTACCTTCCTTGGGGAAAGTGTACACACTTTTATGTATTATATCTAGGTTTCGGATTGCTTTATCTGTTCTCAATAACCCGGCGTAGAAAATTAAAACGCCTAAAGTTTTTTTTTTTTATGTTTTAATATAAAGTTGTCGTAAAAGTTTTAGTATCTATAATTTTTTTTTTAAATTGATCCTTATCTAAAACGTGCACAAGCATTTATGTATATTTTTCATTGTCTATTGTAATAAGTTTTCTTTTAAGTTCCCTGTATTTTAATATTATAGATATTACAACAGCTGTTGTGTTTTATTTTGTAATTCCTAACTGCCTGAACTAAACTGATAGATGAATCTGTCGATAGATACATTATCGCTATCGCATACATGAAACAGAACGAGATAAAGACGTTCAGCGTAGTGTTCTTACTAGTGTGAGCGAAAGCGTGTCTATAGATGTATTTTTTAAATGCATGATAATGGAATGGTAGCCCCCGTCTACGCTAACGGTATATGCTGGCGGGGCACCAGTGAGGGACGAGTAGGATAGAATGAAAAGGCAGACCAGTTAGCCCATCATGATGAAAACATCTGCAATTCAGCACGATGATTTCCAGGGCGGACCACGTGGAGGTCGACCTGACTGGGTATATTGCTAGCAATGGGACTGATTCTGCATTACTAACAATATATACGGCATCGCTGTTACATGAAATGGAACGAGACAAACATGTCCAGCGGAGTGTTCTTACTAATATGAGTGAAAACGTATCTATAGATATATTTGTCACTTGTCTAAGACTTTATTCAAATTCAAATTCAAATTCAAAAATCATTTATTCACGTAGGACATTTTAGCCGCTTATGAACGTCAAATTTGTACATTATAATTTTATATTTACCCTACCGTCCAGTTCGGTATATAGATCCAATTGAGAAGAACTGGCAAGAAACTCAATTGAATTACTTTTTTTTTTAAAGCCAGTTTATTTACAATGTATATTTATATAGGTGTCTATGTCTAACATTAAATGAAAATTCAGTGCATGAACAACTATTGCCATGCACACTCGTCATTCAAGTAATCGTTTAGTGAGTAATAGGCTTTGCTCAGTAAATATGATTTAACAGATGTTTTGAATTTATTTAAGGGTAATTCCAACATATCCTTTGGTATCTTATTGTAAATTTTTATACCTATTCCCATAAAAGACCTATTAACTTTTTCTAAACGATACTTGGGGACAGCAAGTTTGTCTTTAAATCTAGTATTAATATTATGAATATTGCTGTTTTTTTGAAATAAGTCAAGATTTTTATGAACATATAGAATATTTGAATATATAAATAGAAGCAACGGTGAGAATATTTGCCTCTTTGAATTTCTCTCTTAATGAGTCACGACTCTTCATACAGTAGATCGCTCGAACGGCACGTTTTTGTAATATGAATATATTCTTAATATCTGCCGCTTTTCCCCATAGTAATATTCCATAAGAGAGTAAACTATGAAAATAACTAAAATAGACTAATCTAGCAGTATCAGTATCAGTGTACTGTCTAACTTTACGCACGGCAAAAGCTGCTGAACTTAGTTTCGCTGCAAGGCTTTGAATTTGTGCACCCCATTGTGTTTTATTATCTAGTGTGATTCCTAGAAAGACAGTAGAGTCTATGAATTCGAGAGATTCGTCATTTAATTTAACATTGCAATTAGTATTAAAACTTTTAGATAGAGAGAAATTAACACATTTTGTTTTTTTAGCGTTTAACATAAGATTGTTAGTTGTAAACCAGTGCAGGAGACGCCGCAAAGCACTATTTACATCGTCATAATTATTAGTCATTCTATTAACTTTAAAAATCAATGAAGTATCGTCTGCAAACAATACTATGCCGCATCTATCCTGCATGGCATATGGGAGATCATTAATGTAAACTAGGAATAAAAATGGACCGAGAATAGATCCTTGAGGTACACCCATTTGCACAAGTGACCCGTCAGACGTAGCGTTGCTAATCTTCACTTTCTGTATTCTATCAGATAGATAAGATTTTATTAAATTTAAAGCATTGTCTTTGACGCCATAAAAAGCAAGTTTTTTTAGCAATGTATTATGATCAACGCAATCAAAAGCCTTAGAAAGGTCACAAAAAACACCTATCACATCCATTTTAGTTTCCCATGCAGCAAATACGTGTCTAAGCAACTCTGCACCTGCGTCTGTAGTTGAACGACCTTTGGAAAAACCGAATTGACTATTGTGGATTAAATTATTTAAATTGAAATAACTGACAAGTTGCATAAGGATTATTTTTTCAAAAATTTTACTGAGTGCTGGGAGTATGGATATAGGTCTATAATTTATTGGGTCACTCCTATCTCCAGATTTAAAAAGCGGTATGATTTTACTAATTTTCATTATGTTAGGAAATTTACCTTCATCTATACATTTATTGAAAATAAAAGCAAGAGAGGGCGCAATAATTTCCATTATACTATCCAGTATTTTAACAGACATACCCCATAGATCCTCTGTTTTTTTATTATTAAGTTGTTTGAATATTTTCATTATTTCTACTGATGATGTATGTCTAAAGTTAAATACAGCTGATGACTTGCTAACATTGTCTGTTAGTAAAGTTTCAGCAGCAGACGGGGAAGATTTTAGAGCCTGTGTCGTAATTAATGGAATATTAGTAAAATAAGATTCGAATGTATGCGCGACCTCTGTGTCGGAATTTACCAATTTGTTATTAATATTTAAAGCTATTTTGCTATTTTGAAAATTAACTTTTCCAGTTTCGCTATTTATTACTTTCCAAGTGGCTTTTATTTTATCTTTAGATTTAGTTATTATTTTACCTAAATAGAGAGACTTATATTCAATATATATATTATTAATGACTCTTGAATATATATATTCAAGAGTCGAACTTCGACGTTCGGTCTGAAAATTCGAATTTTGAAATTTATGTTCGCGGACGAAAAGTATATATATATATATATATATATATATATATATATATATATATATATATATATATATATATATATATATATATATATCTGTAGAACTTTAGTTTTTTTTTTGATGGATGAAAATGCATACCATTTTAACCCCGCCTGCGCTAACGGGATACGCTGACGGAGCACCGGTGAAGGGTGATAGATGAGAATGAAAACAGGCCAGTTAGCCCATCGTGATGAATTCATCAGGAATTAACCATGAGAGTTTCCAGGGGGAACTGCAAGGAGGTCGACCTGTTTGGGTATATTGCTATCAATAGGATTCTCAGTCTCCATTACTAACAATCCCTTTCCCTCCTGGAACTTTGGAGCAAAGAAGTTGGTAATAAAAACATAAATAAATGTAATTAATATGATTTATTGTCATTTATTATATATTACCAAAAAATTTTCAGTCTATAAAAACAAGTAGTTGCCATTAATAAAAATCTCACATATTAAATTTCAAATTGTACATGTATTAAATAATAAGTTTACACAGAACTTAATGCAAATATAATAGAGTTTTGTTTAAATTATTACAGAAACGGTCTCTATTAACGAAAAGTTTAATCAATTTGATTTGCATTACTATTGGCAAAACCCCCCAAGGGGAGGCCAATGTCCAGCAGTGGGCAGTTAAAGGCTGATGTAATGTAGTTGGTTACATCAAAATAATTGATCACGTCGGTGTCACTACAATAATGTGGAGCCAATTATGTTTTTAAGTATTCACAATTACGCGTGGGCAGATCTGACACTCATTTCTCGTACTAAGTGACGGGACTACTCGCGTTAAGTTAGCTGCTTAACAGCGGTAGGCACTCGCGCGTTGTTCACATTAGTCTTTTGATGTGATCAGCTACAATACTATTGGACTGTGTTATGCTCGAGTCGATTTTTTATTTTTTTATATTTCCATTAAATTCTGTTTTGTTTCAACACCATAAATTTTGTTGAAACTTTAATCAAGTTTGCCTTTATACGATCTGTTTTAAGTACAAAAGTGTTCTAATTATAATAATGAGTTATTACATTTTTATATATTTTTCTTTATTATAGCATATGTGGTCCCGGCATAGAACGGGTCATTTCTTTCCCGTGGGTGGTGTAAGAGACAACTTGGGGAATTTGATGGTCAAATAATGGGCAGCAGTGTCCCTCTTTTAAACATCACTAAAAGTCTGCGGTTGCTAACCCGCCTGCCAATCGTGGCAACTATTGGCATCCCGAAGGAGAGGTCTATTTTCAGGAATGGAGAGTTAACGGCTGATGTGAAGATGTTACCATTTTTTTTTTATAATACAGTGGGCAGACGAGCGTGCTGCTCACCTGATGGTAAGTGTCTACCGCCTCCCATGACCATCCGCAACAACACCATTATGATGATGTCATCGTTTTGAGCGAACACAGAAATAACATAGTCCTTGAATATGATCAACCGAAAAGATAATTACTTGCTTTCTATGGTTGACCGCACTATGCGTGCTATGCTTACTATTGTAATCTTTTGGAGGATCTTTTGGAGGAGGATATCTATCTGTCTATCTATGCCGGCTCACTACATTGCTTTTTCACATAACATAAACGTTTGTCTATGTCTAATATATTACTTCATAGGGAATAAAGGATGCGTGATAGGTTTACCCTTATATTTTTAGGTTTACCTTTCTGGCAAAATAAAATTAAGTGCGTCCAATCACAGGCGATTTTGTCGATAATTGATAAATATTTTTTTTTATTTTTAATATTTCACGCAAAAAATGGCACATAAATTGCACATAAAGCAACGATCACGTGTCAATCTAAGTCCAATAGTTTGACGTCGACCACGTCTTTAGAAGGCATATGCATTTTGTAATACTGTCTCGTTCTAACGCATGATGATGGCTACATGTTTCTTATTCTAAATTACAAATAGGCATGGTTCTGTCTACATGGTTCTATTTAGTAGATACGTACGAAATTATTAATTAGATACTTAAGTTGGAGTAATAATATATCTACTCTCTACCCTTTATAGTACTCTAATTCTCTTAATTACATAGTTATGTTGCATATTTTTATGAGTCTAAGGTTCGAGTCTAATCTAGCATGTAATTTTTCATTTTTTATTGGAATTGTTATTGACATGTTTCAAATATTTGCATGTTTGATTTTATTTAAAGGTATATTAATAAGTACTTAATAATAAAAAACTAATTATGTTCTTTTGACAGAGATTTCATACAAAATCGTCAATAAGTTCCTATTATATAAATTCAGTTCTTAATCTACGTAAACCATTTGTTTAAAAATATTACGTTAACAGCCACAAAAAATGTTCCTTTATTTTTATTTGAGACTGCAGAACTATTGGATTTATTACTAATTATTTATTACTTTGAGCTGTTGTTGGATTATAAAACTATCAGTTTTTGCACAGTAACGTATTACATTAAAATAACCTATGCATTTCGCGCCTAACTCAAAATGGCCGCTACGACAAAATGGCGGATAAACTGTTAATAGTCGTATATGTGCTGCTTCAGCCAAGGCAGGAATTTCGCTAAGTCTGTAAATACTATGTAGTGTTTAGGATCGCACCGACGTTCGTTGTTTCTTGCTACGGACAACGAGACGAGACCTCTAAGGAACCAAACGTCATTGTATTTGAAGACCATGCCACCGCCGCTGTCTCCGTTACAAACCGACGCACCTGTGAATGGAAAACTTTATTAGTATTGTCACGTTTCACTTTATTATAAAGGCAATGAGATTATAAGAATTAAATAATAATAATTTATTTGCTTAAAAACACGGAATACAGATGCTAGTAATCATATGTTATGAACATTCGTGTTTTGCTAAAACAATAGTATGCAAAATTTTAGTATTTATAACTTTTTTTGTCAAATTTTAATGAAAATGTATCATATTATGAATGTGTTTATAAAGAAGATTTTTCTTCTAGTCTATGATGCCTTTAATTAAATAATAACACTTGTCTATGTCTTTGCTTTTTTTTTGTCTTGTGAAAATTAGTATTAATTAAAAAAAGGGTTTTATACTTTGTATTGCCCACTAATTATCTACACACTTAGCATATTTTCAGAAAGGTAGATAACGATTTTGTTTATTGGTCTATATTTTCGTAGAATATCGAGAACATCATTGATATGAAAGGATTTAAATTTTTGGATCAACTTTTAAATTTAATACCGCTAATAAAATTTGCTTTAGCATAAAAATGCAAACGATGAAGTCAATTATAATAATTATTATAAAAATCTTATATTGCTTTTTTTTCAATTTATTTGCTCATCACTTTACACTGTCAATTATATTTTCTGTTATTCCTGTCTACGATCTACTGGTAGATAACATCATATGGTGTTAAGTCCGCCATTTACACTATCTAGGTGTATTAAAGTTTAATAAATAAATAGATTATAAATACCTACCTATATTTGTGTTTGGCTGTGTTTCGGTTTGAAGGTTGGGATATGGCAGAGAAGTTACAGGGTACAGAGGAATAACACCCGAGTCCTCGGGAATGGCAACGCATTAGGGGTATCATAGGCGAAACAGTATACTCTGTTATGTCTATGGTACTGCTCATGTCTATAGGCGACAGATACCACTTTCCATCAGGTGGGCCGTCAGATTGTTTGCCATTCTAAGTTGCATGAAAAAATTATAGTGCATATTCTTTAATCTAAAATTTACATAGTAACATAGTGATATAAATAATAATTAACAAATATAATCGTCATTCCTGTTAGTCACTTTAGAATAAAAAGTCAAAACCGCAAACAATACCATTTTAATTTTCTATAAAAACCAACACCATCCTTTAATTAAAATATGTGTGCATGACGAAAAAGGTAGTTTAAGGTACAGTTATATATATAATAAGTAAATATAGTTAATAAGTAGGTATTATACTAAAACATTCACTGTGTAGTCCTGGCATTGAATGGGTCACCCGTTCCTTTCCTGTGGGTGTCGTAAGAGGCGATTAAGCGAACTTAATGGTTGGGATATGAGCAGCACCGTCCCTCTTAAAATATCACTAAAAGCCTGAGGTTGCCGATCAGCCTTCCAAGCATGGCAACTACTGGCAAAATTCCTCATTAGGAAGAAGCCTATGTTCAGCAGTGGACAATTACCGGCTGATATGATGATCAAGTATGACCAGAGGGAGACTTTGTACAAAAGTCGATTGCTTGGGTACCTCTGTCCCATTCGTGTTTCAATCGTGAAACAACTGTGTTTGCATGGCTGTGTTTCGATTTGAAGGGTGGGATATGGCGTGAAATTTACTGGGTACAGAGGAATAACACCTGAGTCCTCAGGAATGGCAACGCATGGGGGGTATCATGGGCGAAACAGTATACTCTGTTATATCCATGTTACTGCTCATGTCTATAGGCGACGGTTACCACTTTCCATCAGGTGGACCGTCAGATTGTTTGCCATTCTAAGTTGCATAAAAAAAAGTATATATCAAGTATATGGATGTATAATTCGAATTAAATAGCACTTTATTATTGTTTTACAAGTATGGGCATTTTACAGTTCAAATATAGTATATGCTATTGATGTATTTAAGATTTTATTTCTCAAGGAGGACCTTTAAATAAGGCGCATGGTGTCCTCTCAGACATATCTTTATCTGTAGTCAAAAGCTACACTCGGATTCTGTGATGGGCTTCGGATAATTCACGGTTCAGCCGGTCCCCACTTGAATATGCTCATAAGTGTGTGCATCTTATATCTGTCACGTCTAGGGTAAGCAGAAACAATGGAACGCCAAATGCTTCGATTCAAACAGATCTCTTTCGCTTCTGCTACATTCATCAATCTTTTCATACACGCTAGCCGGTTACGAGTATTTTTAATTTGGCCTTTCATCAGCATGTTGGCTATTTGGTCAATATATGTCTGTCTAGGGCGAACCCTACTGATATTTCCATCCATTTGTGGTTCATCCATTCTCTCCAAATGGCCAAACCAACGCAACATTTCATTTTCAATTTTTGCCACTACGTCTTTCAATCCACACTTCTCTTTAATCATACTATTTCTTATTCTGTCTTTTAATGTAATACCACACATACTTCTCAGAGCTCTCATCTCTACAGCATTTATCTTACTTTAATGTTTCTTCTGCCGTACCTACGATTCGCTTCCATACATGAGTCAGTCAGTACTTTCTGAAATATGGCAAGGTGAGCTTTGTTCAATACATTTTTCATATATACATACATGCACACATATCTGTCACGCCTGTCTCCCATTAGGGTAGGCAGAAACAATGGAACGCCAAATGCTTCGATTCAAACAAACCTCTTTCGCTTCTTCCACATTCATCAATCTTTTCATACACGCTCGCCGGTTTACTTGCTATACATTTTTACTTGCCATAATTGAGAACAGTGTACCGTTACCACTGTTTCCAGCTTTCGTTTTCTTTTCAATATCTCCCTTATACTTTTTATTCCTCGTAAACAATTAATCCAAACCCAGAAACTCATTCACTTGCTCCACTCTCTCATCTTCTAACATTATGTGGTACTTTATATTTATACTTTATTGTCTATATACTTTCATGTCTCTCAATGATCATTACGTTCGACTTCTTCGCATTTATTTTCATACCTTTTCTTGCATTATGCTTCATTCATAACAGTCACCATTTGTTGTAATTCATATTATATACCAGAGGGAGACTTTGTACAAACGTCGTCTGATTGGAAACCTCTGTCCCATTCGTGTTTCTACCGTGAAGCAGTTGTGTTTGTAAGGCTGTATTCCGGTTTGAAGAGTGGGATATGGCAGTGAATTTACAGGGTACAGAGGAATAACATTTGAGTCCTCAGGAATGGCAACGCATGGGAGGTGTCATGGGCGAAAGAGTATATTCTGTTACGTCCATGATACTGCTCATGTCTATAGGCGACGGTTACCACTTTCCATTAGGTGGGCCGTGAGCTTCTTTGTTATTCTATATTGCTAAAAATATATATTCCGACGATGCAATCAGTACTTGGTCGTCGGCGTATAAAAGAGTTTTAAATAGTGACTCATTCATTCGGAATCCACAATCAGGCATCGACATATGGATGAAATAAATATATCTATATTGTTATTATAATATAATATATTATATAATACCCATTAAAAGAAATTATTGAGGTTAATAATAGCAGTTTGTGATAGTATACCCCATTGCATCCTAAACACCATTATATTAGTTATGTAATTTATTTTGACATACTTTGTACAGATCTGGATTGGTCATTGTAGACACCTGGAAGTAGTAATTCAGATATTTTATAGTGGAAAAGCATTAAAGTTTAAAATTATGTAGTTTCAAGCTTTTTTAGGAGATGAAAATGGAATTGTTACCTCATTTGTGCTAGCATTCACTGGTTGGGTACTAGTGTAGTATATTAGGTAAGGATAAACTCTTTTTTTGTGTCGTTAAACGCCGGGAAATATAATGAATTAAGTCTGTCTACCGTGACGAATTCATCATCGTTATATCACTGCTGAATTTAGGCCTCCCTCATAGACTGCTATAAGGAACGACCCGGGGGGAAGGGATTGTTAGTAATGGAGACCAAGGGCCCTATTGCTAGTAACCCAACCGGGGGTATGGAAGGGATTGTTAGTAATGGGGTCTAACTAATCCATTGCTAGCAATACACTTTATTAGGTCGACCTCCACGCGGTTCTCCCTGGAAACCGTCGTGCTTAATTCTAGTGGATTTCATCACGATGGGCTAACTGACTTGCTTTCATCGTCATCTAGCATCCCTCACTGGTGCCCCGCCAGCGTATACCGATAGAGCAGGAGCAGCATACAATTCCATTATCATCCATTAAAAAATAAAATATACCCAGCCAGGTCGACCTCCCCGTGGTCCCCTAAATGACCTGCCTTTATCATACTCATCTATCATCCCTCACTGGTGCCCCGCCAGCGTATACCGTTAACGCAGACGGGGTTACCATTGCATTATTAACCAATAAAAAAAGGAACGGTCTGAGTAACCTGTATGCACTGATTCGTTGACGATTCACTGGGAATTAATAACTATGGTTTCCAAGATCCCCGTGTGGAGAACGACCTTTTTCTGGATAAGTTATTTTAAGGGTACAATACGAGTTAATATAATTCGAGTTTTGTGTTGTAGACTTGTTTTTTGATTAATCAAATCTCGTGTGTGACGGAGTTCCTTTTTTGTAACTTAATTTGTTCCTACTAATCTGCTTTTGTGTACTTAATCACATTACCTAGTACTAATGTAATCTCAGCTGTTGATCTTCCATATAATGAATAAATAAGTGGTACGTACAAAATAAATTAGGTAAATATGTACAATGTATGCCTTATTTATTTTCTCTGTACTATTTATTTATATACATATAAATATATACCTTCCTTTTCCGTGGGTGTCATAAGAGGTGACTAAGGAAACAAAGTTCGAGGGATGAGTTTTTTTAATAGATAAAAATGGAATGGTATCGGTATACACTGGCGGGGCACCAGTGGAAGATGATAGGTGAGAATGAATGCAGATCAGTTGGTCCACCATGATGAATTCGACAAGAATTAACCATGATGGTTTCCAGAGGGAACCGCGTGGAGGTCGACCTGAGAGGGTCTATTGCTAGTAATGTGATTATTAGAGCTCATTACTAACAATCCATTTCCTATCTTGAGAGATGAGTAGCAGCGTCCCTCTTAAAACATCACCAAAGTCTTAAAGGAAGCCTTGACGCTGTCAACATTTCTGCCAATCGTGTCAACTGATAATAAAACCCCTCTAACTGGGAGGCTTATGGTCCGCAGTGCACAGTTAGCGCTTAATATAATGATGTTGATACATGTAATTCGAATTGAGACCAAAATCATGAGTATTTGTCATTTTAATGGATTGTTCTACCACCAAAACTTAACATTTAAAAAAAAAGTCATAACATTGTAAAAAAAAAAATATGCCGTACTAATGAACATAGTGTGTTCAGCTAAATGGATATTACCGTATTTTTTATCGTTTTTCGACTCAGGTTTTCTTCGAAACTTTCTCAAAAAAATGTTAATAGTTTTGATTTTGTCTTGATTTTCAATAACACGTATTGTATCTACTGTGCAAGCAATACTTAAATACAAGTCATTAGGGGTGGGTAATAATATATAGCAATATTTATATATTTTAGTTACAATATGTATATACTGGCCCAATAAGAAATATGTTGAAATGAATCTAAGGGTTCTGTAGACAAGTCACCAGGGGACCGCGAAAGTATTTATACAGTAAAACAGTTTTAGTCTACACGTTAAAAGTTAAAGTAAAAATAAAGGATTTCATTTTCAAAATATTTCTAAGAAAAAATTATGTTCTTATTCAAATTACAGTGTCTTTAATTTTTAATAACTTGATATGGGGTTCCATAAAACAAAAGGTATTTGGTGGGCGTTCCGTTATGTTGAAAGTTTAGGAATTACTGAACTAGGGTATCAAATTGTAATGTTTTCTTTGATGGGAGAAAATGGAATGGTAACCCCACCTCCTCTATCTGTATATGCTGGCGAAGCACCAGTGAGAGAAGATGGGTGAGGATGAAGAAGCAGGTTAGTTAGCTTATTGTGACGAATTCCACAAGAAAAAACCACGATGGTTTCCTATGCTAACTATATACTTTATTACTAACAATCTCTTTACTCAAAAAAAAAAAAAAAAAACATTGAGGTAGGTAAAGGCGGGAAAATTTTAACAATCTACTGGCGGAAAACATAGACTAAGGATAATACATGCGATTCTCTTTCTACGGCGGCAAACGTGTAAATCCGCCACTGTTCACACAGATTACACCAAAATTCACAAACATAGATGCACAACGTTTTTTTTAAAAAAAGAAGTCTTACCATTTCTATATCCAGCGCAGTAAGAGTAATCCGACGTGTACCGCGAGAAAAATTCGCTATATGATTTTATACAAGTCAGCTCGTCTACTACCGGCATTTCTACCAGGGTCAGTTCCTCCGTCGCTAGTCCTGTCTCATCGAATCCCCAACCCACAACCTGCAATTAAAAATTGTTATTTTATGAAAAATTTGAGGGGTCACTTGATGGCAACGCCATGTCTTAATCTATTTGTGTATGTATATTGCCATGTTTTACTTCTGTAGATATATATTACATAAAATATTAATTCATTTGAATCTATTTTTTATTATTCGTCGTTAACTGCCCACTGCTGAACATAGGCCTCCTTCACGAGGAGTGTGTTGCTAATAATTGCCACGCTTGGTATACGCGTTGGTAACTGAAGTTAGGCTTTGATAGTGTTTTAAGTGGGATGCTGCTGCCCATTCCATTAAATTCCCTCAGTCGCCTTTTACGACACCCACGAAAAAGGAGGGGATAGTCCATTTTATGTCGTATATATATTGTATATTATACAAAGGATTTTGCCAGTGCAAAATCTCCCCTTGGGGGAGACCTATGTACAGCAGTAGACGGTTAATATACATTCTATAGTTATCTTTCAGCTTCTCAAAAGTTGACTGTAAGAAATCCTTTTATGGGATAAGTCTGCCATTGTATATTAAATCATTTGTCAGTGCTTAATTTACAATAAAGATTTACAATACAATACAATACAATGATATAAATATACTCACAGATCCCTTCTTGCCGACGACATTGTTAATATCGACCAGGTCTTCAGGCCAGAGGCAGGCGGGTCGTACCCAGTCGGTGTAAGTCACTGGTTCTTTCAGCACTAATATAGCCAGGTCTCGGTTGAACGTAGTCGCGTTGTATTGGGGATGTTTTATTATTTGCTCCACCTGTCAATTATGAGTACAAGATATGTTAATAATAAGTGTCATACAATCACACCTACATGGTCTTTAAGCCAGGATATCTTGAGTTATGAGGAAGCTGGCAAAGAGTATCTGAAAACGTCCAGATCTGAGCCGACTCAGGAAAGTTCGTTTCCCAAATTGGCTCAGTCCAGAATAGAACTCGAGACCTCATTTAAACAAAGTAACGTGCCGTCCGATGGCAGTTGTCAATATACTCACGTTTGTAATCCCTGATGGTATAGTCAGAGGCAAGTATTTATTGACTGTTACAGTTGTGGTGAACGGAACATTCGATATGCCCATAACTCTCCGAGCATAAACTTAATCTTGGGATCAATATTTTCGCCGTTATTTGATTTAGTATTGTTTTTTTAATTATTATTAACAGGCAAACAAGAATATGACCCGTTTGATGGTAAACGGATTACTATAGCCTATGGACGTCTGTAAAACCAGGGATGTCACGTGCGCGTTGCTGACCCTTAAGAAACTTTAATATGCCCTTTTTGAAGAATCTTATTTTGTAGTCCCTATGGAAAGCCTCGGCAGGAAGATTATTTCACAACCTGAGTGTTCGCGGGAGGAAGCTTCTCTGAAACTGCAATGTGCATGACCATTCTAGTTCTAAAGCGTAAAGATAGATTTCCTGCCGATGGCGAGTGGTTCGATGGTGAAAGGTGGCTGTAGGCATCATATTAAAGAGTTTCTCAGAACATCACTTTCTATCATCGTACGGCTCGCCATCAACAGGGAGTTCACCCTCATACCTTACAGCCTAAATGGTTGCGTACAACGCGGTTTCAAAGATGTTTTCTCCCACGAACACTCAGGTTATGGAAAGAGCTCCCTGCCGAGGTTTTCCCAAGAGACTACAGCATGGGATTCTTCAAAAGGGGGGTAAAGAGTTTTCTTCAGGGTCGGCAACGCGCGCGTAATACCTCTGGTATTGCAGGCGTTCATAGCCTACGGTAACCGCTTACCATCAGGTAGGCCGTATGTTTGTTTGCCACCTCAGTGGTATAAAAAAAAAACATAATCCGTTATACAATCAGTTTGGTTTGCTAACACTGTTTTCCATCACCGAAGAGTTTGAAATTAAAATGCAGCGATTACACTCCGTGCGTCTCTGAATTTTGTGATGTTTTTGAATTTCCGCGATGATATCTTGGACGTGCACGGAAATTTAAAAACGTCTCCATATAATAATAGCATTGCTTGATGATTACAAATTACATTATCACGATTACGGCGGTAAACTAATTTAGAATTATCATGATAGAATCATTAAAAAATATAACATTTAAAAATAGGTACATATAAACAAGTTTGTCTAATCTTTTGAGTGCTCCACTTGGATTTACCGCTTAGAAAACTTTTCTTTTTATATAATATAGTTTTTTAACATTATATATTAATTCACTAAATTGCATGACAGTTTTTTTTTATATTCAACTAGAATGGTAAAAAAGCTGACAGCCCACCTGATCTAAAGTGGTAACCTTCGCCTTAAGACATGAACAGTACCATGGATATAACAGAGTATATTGTTTCGCCTATGATATCCCCCAAGCGTTGCCATTCTTAGGGATGTAAGGTATATTAAGGTAAGGTATGTACCCTGTAAATTCACTGCCATATCCCACTCTTCAAATCGAGACATAGCTATGCAAATACAATTGTTTCACGGTAGAAACACGAATGGCAACAAATACTCTCTTTAAAATAACAACTTACTAATTATTATAGTAAACTGTATTTATGTTTGTTTTGTTTGTTTATTTAACAGCCTGTTACATTAATATAGTAATACAATAGAAATGAAATATAAAACAAAAGTTTGCGTTATTAACTTGTAGACTTATCGCGTTGCATGTTTTATGTTTTATAATTAACGTGATCATTTAAGTCAATCATAATGATTTATCTGAATTATCAAATTTGTAATATTTTTAAATTACTCATCATAGTTAGTAATATTAAAAAATCAAGTTTAAGTTAATATTATGAAGTCGAATAATTTGTTTATTTTTTTTTTATTTGTGATGGATAAACTGAAAAAAATACCTAATCGATTTTAAAAATTTCTTCACTTATAAAGCTACATTTTAGTGAGTAGTATGGACTGTATTTTGTTAAGAAAAACCGTGCGAAGTCGGGGCGGGTAGCTAGTATAATATGAAGTTGCTAGTTAGAGTCTTTTTTTTAATGGATGAAAATGGAATGGTAATCTCGCCTGCGCTAACAGGATACGTTGGCGTTCATTGGTGCCCCGGTGAGGGACGGCAGTTGGCCCATCATAATGAATTCATCAAAAATTAACCAAGGTTGTTTCCAGGGGGAACCACGTGGAGGCCGACCTGTCAGAGTATATTGCTAGTAATAGGTCTGTTGGATCTCATTACTAACAATCCCTGTCCCCCCTGCTAGTTAGAGTCAGGTGATAGGCCGCGGCAACTGTTAAAGAACCCAACGGTCATTCTATTCCGTTCAGATAACATTTATCATGCTGTTCTAGGAGATACTTACGAATCTAATCTGGACGCCTTCCGTGGAGGTCCTAAGGTTGTGCTTCCCTAAGTAGACCGTGAGGGTGTCTTTGTTGACAACCCTGTTGCCGGTTTTGAGGGTAATGCAGTGGGCCGCCGTAATGACATGCCTGTGGGAGACCAGGGTTCCGCCACAGATGTATTTGTTGTCCACTGTCTGAAAGTATTATTTATTATAAGATACTTTGTACAAAAATCCTTTATCGGAATTTCTGCTCTTCCTTTTTTTTTCGAGCCTTACGTGATTAATGAATGACCCCTAAATTGAATGATCCTGGATCACGTTCTTTTATGTAGACCCATTTTCTATCGACTATACATCTTTGTCGCTGTGCGGTCTCGGCATAGAATGGGCCACCACTTTCGAGGGGGTCACAGAGACCTGCCAAGCATGGCAACTACTGGCAAAACTCTTATGGGGGAGGGTCATGTTCTGCAGTGGATAGTTAACAGCTTATATGGTATGGCATATATCTTTCATTTTTCATGTATGTATAGTATTTATATACCTTACTATGGTATGCAGGTTTTAGTGGATGTAAAGTCCAATGGCACTTAGTAATATTGATTTTTTTTAATGTATTTATTCTTTATTGACCACATTACAAAAAAAAATCTGGTACAAAAGGCGGACATAATACTATATAGCATTCTCTCCCAGTCAACCTTTGGCTAAACAGAAATTTTATTATGCGGTGACATTACAACACATACAATAGAGAACTACTGCACATGATGATTATCTATTATATATACATCAGGGTTAACGGACTGCTTCACAGTCAGCAATATGGTTTCACCGCCGGCAAGTCTACCACTGACGCAGGTGTTGCGCTAATGACACATATTTTCGAATCTTGGGAGAGGTCACAGGATGCACTCGGAGTTTTTTGTGACCTATCAAAGGCATTTGATTGTGTGGATCATAAAACGCTTTTGTACAAGCTCGAACATTATGGTATAAGAGATAATGATCTAAAATTAATGAGAACTTATTTAGAGGATAGGGTTCAAACTGTAGATATTGACGGTGTAAAATCTAAGGGAGCTAATATTAAGATGGGCGTTCCACAAGGGTCAATCTTAGGCCCCTTTCTCTTTTTAATCTACATAAATGACCTTCCCTTTATGGTAGAGAAAATTGCAGATATAGTGCTGTTTGCGGATGATACTTCGTTAGTGTTTAAAATTGGACGTCAAAGTAATCAATTAGACGATGTAAATTGTGCTATGTCTGCAATATTAAATTGGTTTACATGTAATAACCTATTATTAAATTCCAGCAAAACAAAGTGTATAAAATTTACACTTCCTAATGTAAGACTAATAAATACACAGTTATTGCTTAATGACGAAATAGTAAATTTTGTTAATGATACAGTTTTTTTAGGTATAACAGTGGACTCGAAATTACAATGGGGGCCCCATATTTCAAAATTGGCCAGTAGACTCAGTTCTGCTGCATATGCAATTAGAAGAATTAGGCAATTAACAGACGTGGCGACGGCTAAACTTGTATATTTTAGTTATTTCCATAGCATAATGTCTTATGGCATACTGCTGTGGGGTAAAGCAGCCGATATAAATACTATATTTGTTTTACAAAAGAGAGCCATACGTTCTATTTATGGTATGGGTTCAAGAGAGTCATTACGTCAGTGCTTTAAAGACTCAAATATCCTCACAGTTACTTCACAATACATTTATGAAAATATTATGTATACACGGAAGAACTTAGCGAGTTTTAAAAAACTCAAAGACTGTACAAGTAGAAACTTACGCAATATAAATAAGCTTATTTTACCTAAATGCCGTCTGCACAAAATCAGTAATTCATTCTATGGTAATTGCATAAGATTTTATAATAAACTGCCGGAATCTGCATTAAATCTGACAGAGAGGCAATTCAAATCTTATATTAAACAATTTTTATGTAAGAAAGCCTATTACAGGATAGACGAATTCATAGATGACAACATATCAAGTAAATAATTAGTTTATTAGCATACAACGTTATAATTTTATTTTCTCATTGCTTTCTTGATTTAATTGATTAATTTTAGAAATATGAAAGCGTAGCGGTTTTTTGTATTAATTGCCGCATGCATTCTTATGTAAAATGTGAATACTATAACTATCAGATGGCAATTGTGAGTAGCTTTGACGTGGTCTAGTGTTTTGAGTAGTCATGCTCACTAAAATGTCCAGACTTGTGGCGGCGTGGTGGGCCGGGTCATTGGGCTCCCTAAAATATGGTCGAGCGCAGTGATGGCTGGCTCATCCGTCATACTCGTGAACGGGTGCTGCTTGTAGGGACTGGTCTGCTCTAATCACTATGACTGATTTCCTCTTATTAATTGTTTAACCAGTTGGTTATGTATTCAATTTTTTTTTTCTTTTTGAGTATTTAATTGAATTAGTGCTAATTGGTGGTTTGTATTCACACAATTAAACTTAAAAATGTAAAATAATAATAAAATTATTTAAAAGAGCATCACGCAAGTTTCTTGCTCGTTCTTCTTGTGATGAGACAGCTTTCCGAACGAGCGGTAAATTAAAAAAAATGTAATGACTTTTCAAAAGTGCTTCAATGTAAGTTTATTTGAATAAATGATTTCTATTCTATTCTATTCTATATAAATATACATACATGAATACATTAAACAAATATTACATAAATATACAAATATATAATAAAAATACATATATACAAATATAAATATAACTACATACTAATAGATTATATACGATAACACAAAAATTGATTGTTTATTTTTTTAAACTATATACAAAGTGACGACGTGTTTATACGTGCTGAGTGGCGGGAGTGAGAGGGCTCGAACGAACGAGTCAGAGTGAATGATTACTAAACAATGTAGATGTAAAAATGGAAGAATTTAAGTACCTACATATTATTTATTTAAATAGGATAATGGATCGACAAATCCACTATGCACTATCGGTATACGCTTGCGCAGTACTAGTGAATAATGAGAAGTGGGATGAAGTCAGATCAGTTGTCCTATCGTGACGAATTCACCAGGAGTTAACCCTATAATCCTATACTGCTAGAAATGGCGCCGTTAGTCCCCAATACTGTTGAAATCGTACCTGAGTCTGGTATAAAGCGATCTGCCATGGCCATTCCCCTTCATATGTAGGTTTTCCATTGATAACTAGCAAGTTAGGGGTTTGTTTCACCACTTTGCCGCATTGCACCTGGAAAAGGACAAATGGTTTTTTAATCGACATCAAAAACGAGGAGGTATTGTATTTATATTTTTTTCTGTGTAAGTTATCTTTGAACCGATTTTGGTAATACTTTTAAATTTTTTTTACAACACAGGGGGTAAACGAGCATGCGGCTCGCCCGATGGTAAGTGACTACCGCCCATGATCACCCACAACGCCAACGACATTGCAGGTGTGCTGCCGGCCTTTTAAAAGGAATATGCTCTTTTTTTTAAGGTTATGATGCCGTATCGGTTCGGAAATACTGCTGAATACATTCGACGGGTTTTAATCCAGATTTACCTTTTTTTAATACTACAAAGGTAGCAAACAAGCTTACAGCCCGTCTGATGGTAAACGGTCAGTGTAGCCTATAGACGCATGAAACCCTGGGAGTATCACGTGCTCGTCGCTCGCCCTCAAAAGAGCAAAGCACTGATATTCTGTTGCGGCCAAAAATAATGTTTCAAGAGCGACGTTACTGCTCATCTTTCAACCATTACTTCTCTTAGTCACCTCATACGACACCTACGAGAAAGTGAGGGGTGACGCATTCCATGCCGGGACCACATAGCAGTTATTACGTATGATCAATGATATTAAATGATACAGGTTAAAGATTTTACTTCCAGTAAAACCTGACAAAGTGATAAATCTAAATTGTGGTCTAAAGCAGAATGCAACCGACGATCACGGTGTTCTTGAGTTGTGGCAGTAAACAATTGAACCACAACATTCTCGATATAAACAAACCAGGTTCTACTAAACCAGTTGAATAATTTGTTTTTTTTTTAAAGAATCTTGGGGGCGTTGGCTACGCGGCCGGATTTGAAACCAGTTTTTTAAGTTTCGCGTATAACTGCGAATTTATAGCAGTATTTATGTAGAAGTGATTTCCCTATGACCAGTCTTTATGTATATAAATATCATAATGTATTTATGTATTGAATTATAATTATGTATTAAATTATTTTGTACGTAATTAATATAATTAATTCCCTCATAGAACAGGTCACCCTTTTTTTTCCCGTGGGTGTCGTAAGAGGCGACTAAGGGAGGGCGAGGAATAGGCAACAGTCCTTCTTAAAACATATCTAAAGCCTAACTGCAGTTGCCAATCCGTCAGCCAAGCGTGGCAACTATTGGCGAAACTCCCCAAAGGGGGAGACTTATGTGCAGCAGTTTTGTTAAGGGCTGCAATGATGATAATTTAGAACTACTTATTCATCATAAAAGAAGTTCTCCTCAAAGATACGTAAACGGTATGGTTTTTCCATCATTTTGACAATTGATTATAAAGTATACGTAAGTACGTAAGCACGTTTTGACCTATTTCCCAAATATATGGACCCCACAGTGCAGGTACAATCCGTAATCTACGTTAGAATCGCAGGTCCTTCGTCTGGGTTATGATTTTAGGTACTAACTATCCTTAATCTGACCCTCTAGACAAGCAGCAAGCGAATTCGCCGATGGAATCGACATCGTTAGCGTGTCCGTGAGTTGGAATGAGTCATCCGGCGTTGCTAACTCATTCTGTTTCACGGACTCGCTAGCGATGTCGATTCCATCGACGGAATCGCTTGCCATTTGTCTAGAGGTCCAGATCCTTAATTGATAATAATAGTTTAAATGTTAAAATAAAACTTACATTCTGTGATTCCTGGCCACTGTTCCCGGAATTAATTCCTCTATTCGGTGGCAGAGTAATTACAGGTCTCTCCCCGTCGAAATATTCAGACGGGTCTACTGGACGGCTGGAAGAAATTAAAAATACAGTAAATAATTCACAAGACATAACAATACATTATGTTTCTTGGGAATCGATGGCAATACATGGTTTGCTATGATGATGATGAGCCATTGTCCTTTCCAATAGTTTTAGTATATTCCAATGATTAGGTAACACACTTAATCATATAAAATCGCAAGGAAGTCAGGGGCTTACTACGTTCCTAAGTAAGTTATACTAAATCTATGCTATAATTTGTAATACAAAGGGTTTCGCCGTGTTTCCTTATTAAAATTGCACTGGCGTCTTTTTTTATGCAATTTAGAATGGCAAACAAGCTGACGGCCCACTTGATGGTAAGTGGTAACCGTCGCCTATATACATGAGCAGTACCATGGACATAACAGGGTATACTGTTTCGCCTATGATACCCCCCAAGCGTTGCCATTCCTGAGGACTTAGGTGTTATTCTTCTGTACCCTGTAAGTTCACTTTATTTGTCTTTGTTGATACTCGTGCCTTTAATATATTGTAAGTTGTTAAAAATAATTTTTGACCAATTGTTATGTATTACAGTTAGATATTATGCACGGAATATTTGTATTTTTTTTGGTAGGTCAAAAATTAGCCATTAAAACCACCTTTTTTTAAATATTTTTTTGTAACCTTATAATTATTTGGAAAATTATAAAAAAATATATAATGTAAAGCTAGTTTAGAACTTCTATGTCGCTTTAGTTGTATTCAAGTATCTATCATAGTTTCGTAGACAAATAATTTAAAAAAATTTGGGGTTGCAACTTATATTTTCCAAAAATGGATAAAGTTAGGGATTTGATAATTGGCCAACAATTATTTCTAACAACAAGTAATATATTAAAGGCACCAGTGTCAATAAAGACGCCAGTGCAGACTTCATAAGGAAACACGGCGAGACGCTTTTTTAAAAAGTTAACAGGTTATGTGACTACTAACAATTCTGTTTTGTTTATGCTTTTAGTGCCAATATGGAGAACAGCTCCATTTATCTGATACGTCATAAACGCTCATAATAAGCTAAGTTGGCTTGAGTTAGCACTCGATTAAATAAGAATATATTATTATTATATATAATATACATTCCAAATACTATGGATTTTTAGTACCACTTAAACCTCTTGGGCTTGTGTGTGATACTTTACATTTTGTTCTCAAATGACAATATTTACATTAATATATGTTTTTTTTTATACCACTGAGGTGGCAGACAAGCATACGGTCCATCTGATGGTAAGTGGTTACCATAGCCTATGAACACCTGCAATACCAGAGGTATTACGCGCGCGTTGCTGACCCTGAAGAAACCTTTTCGCACTGAGTCGAAGGGTTCAAGCTAGTATTTAGGTGTTCCCGCCCATAAGTGACAGCAATACTCCATGTGGGACTGAATTTGCGATTTGTAGAGTATTTAATCGCTGATCTAGCGTGAAGTAATGCTTCGCTCTATTAAGCACACGGAGTTTTTTGGATGCCAGCTTCACCTTATCTTTGAATAGCTGCTGCTGTTTTAGCACAGTACAGGTTGGACAGTAAATAGAATATCTATTACAATATCTAATACTATTGGCCTCTTTTTTTGGTTATAAAATACAACCCAAGTTATTTGCTGATATTAAAGCTTTATACAGGTGAAAGAATTTTTAAATTTCGCTATTTTTTTACTTTATTCATTACAAAGTATTTTTTACTTTTTATAATATTAGTTAAGACGATTGCATCTTATTAAGTCCTAATAATCATAAATTCTTGTAGTTGCCAAGCATGATTCTGCTTCGGTTTAAAGAACTGAAATTGTTAGACATGATGGCATAACAGTTTAGGCTTCAGAAATGGCAACCCATTGGAGATACCACGGATGATGTAAATTGTGTTTTTCAAAATTTCATCGCCTAACCCCCTTAGTATGTAATAATATTGTACAACTTCCCACCCTCCGCGGTTTTTAACCTATATGTATTTTTATTCATAGTCAGATATCGGTTAAATAGAACAAAATAAATAATTACCAGACGGAGACTTTGTACAAAAGTCGATTTAGGTACTTCAAATAATTATTGAAATCTGGAATTTTTTTTTTATCTGATATCATGTACTTTCAGATTGACCCAATAGAAATTTTGTAAAACGATTCAGTACTTTAGTTTTTAAATCAAAATTAATGGTTACGTCACAATAAAAGTAGGTTTTTTTGTAGAACACAACTTTAAATTATAGGTTATGTTGTTGTCGGACAAAATGAATTTAAAAATAAAATAAAGACATATTTTGAACAACATCCTTTTTACAACGTGACCGAATACCTAAATGTCAATATTAAATTATGACATTATTATTTATTTATGTTTAACTGTAAGAAGTGTGACAATTCCAATTTTATAACTTTAAGTCATCGTTATTGGTGTATGGTCACCATTATATTGACATGTATTAACTAATTTATAATGTTAACTGTAATTAATTTGTAATGTTACTTTTATTTTATAATTAAAATGTTATTATTATTGTTATTATTTATTTTATTAATTTCAAAATTAGAATGTAAATATTGACTTGCCATTGTGTGACGAAAACTATTACATTTGTTAATAAAGAAATATGAATATGATACAAAATAAATGCCATTAAGTCAAGGTAGTAAGGTTTCGATTTATGTAATTATTTTGTAAATAGTGAATCTATAAAATGAGTTACAAAAGTGAATGAAGAAGAAGTGTAAGTAGTGCAGTGCGTAAGACATTTAGTTCATGGTAGATTTTTAAATGAGTGATAATGAAATGGTAACCCCGCCCGTGATATCGGTATACGCTGGTGAAGTGCTAGTGAGGGATGATAGGTGAGGATGAAAGCAGGTCCGTTGGCCCATCGTGACGAATTTCACAAGAATTAATCAAGACGGTTTCCAGACGCGTGGAGATCGATCTGATAAGGTATATTGCTAGCAATGGAGCTGTTAGGTCGACATTACTAATGATCCCTTTCACCCCATGGTAGGTACTTAGTTCTCTGCACACCCTGTATGTACCTAGAATGAACAAACCTAAATAACTCAGAAATTAATCTTTGTTTAAATTTAATAATAAAAACAATTCTATCAAATATGTTTTTGTTATGATCGTCTTGCAAGTATAAGACGCCAGATGCACTGCCTTGTACCAGAAGGAGCCTGCACAGAAGTCGTTTGCTTGGATACCTCTGTCCCATTCGTGTTTCTACCGTGAAGCAGTTGTGTTTGAATGGCTGTGTTTCGGTTTGAATGGTGGGATATAGCGATGAATTTACAGGGTACAGAGGAATAACACTTTAGTCCTCAGGAATGGCAACGCATGGGGGGTATCATGGGTGAAACAGTATACTCTGTTACGTCCATGATACTGCTCATGTCTATAGGCGACGGTTACCACTTTCCATCAGGTGGGCCGTCGGCTTGTTTGCCATTCTGAGTTGTATAAAAAAAATACTGTGTTGTACGAAATCGTATCTATCGGTGTATTTACGAGTATACGGCAGTTTTTGTTTATCTCTCTCTCTCTCTCTTTATTCTACCATTACAACAAGTTTTTTATAGACGGTAATAGATGATAGTTTTTAGCCATAGAAAAAAATGGAATTAAGATAGCCTGTCGGGTTAGTTAGTAAATAAATTAAAAAAAAATCTCGTAGTAATAATGATTAACGTGCCGAATTTAAGAAAGAAGAAAAGACTTTAATCATAAGACTTAGACATTAATATAAGAATGATTCAATATTATTTAAAAGAATAAAAATAATGAGTTTTTTTTTGCGTCTCTAACTTAAAAAATGTGTTTACTGTTTAATTTTAGATAAAGAAAGAAAAATATTTATTTGATGTATATTAATAACAATTATAACTAAAACATAAACAATTATAAAATTAAAGAAAAAGGAAATACAAAAATAAACTTATACTTAATTAGAAATTATGTGACCAAAATGGTCACCACTCAGCTAAGTGTTTGGGCATTCAAACGTAACGCCTTAATGCTGTTTCTCTGTAGGACCAATGGGAGTGTGATTCGTAAGCCATTAAACCAAGTTAAGCTGAGTTATTTATTTATTTATTCATTAGTACAAATATGTGTACATGGCAGACTTAATGCTTAAAGCATTCTCTCCCAGTCAACCATAGGGAAGTGTCAGAATACTCGAATGCGGTAGTACTAATAATTGATATACATACATACTAAAATTACATATATAAACGAACAAATATATATGAATAACAAATATACTTACACATATATGATATATACTATATTATACACGAAATTGAGAATAATATAAAGCACTTACTGCTCGGATAAAGTAAGAAAGTGAGCGTGAACCCTTTTTTATTATTATTAAGCAGTTAAAACTGTTCAGTTTGACTCAAACCTTTTAGCAGTTAGTCAGTAAGTAAGATCAGCATCAAAAGTGGAGGAACACATGAAAATTTTCAAAATCTTTTCAAGTACCAGCAAAACCCCTCAAAGGCATAGGCGTGTTCAGCAGTGGACAGTTAAACGCTGATATGATGATAATTATGGGTGAATTTTTAGTATTTTATTTCTGAATGACTTGGGATGGTCGTGAAATGCGTTAAGGTTCAGGAACTTGTTACGGGTATTGCCAGCAATAGACCTCTATACTATCCATAATCCCTTTTCTCCCACCAAGATAAATAGCTCCATCTTCCATTCAATCTTACCTTGAATCTTCAAACTCGTCTGGGTCATGCCTTCTACCTGTGGTAGAGCGAACGGGCGGAGATGGGGTAAATTTGTATCCAGTATTCGGTTGGTTGATATTTAAACCGTTATGATTCGGCTGTTCATCATCTCTGGTAAAAAAAAATCAAAGATCTCAATATTCCTGCCAATAAATCAACCAACCTAACCGGCTGTTAGTGGATATTATAGGTAGGTATATAGATTAGAGATGGATAATATATTGATTTAATAACGAATGTGTTAAATCTTTTTACATATTCTAAAATAGATATCCGACCGATACGGGCGATATCGAAATGGGCGATGACCTTTTATCCGCCATCAATGTGCAGAGAAACCCAATATATAGATATCGGGTAAAGCACGCGTGTTCTGTGTCAAATGAAGAATTATTATATTTTCCTTGTCATTTATAACAATTTTAAACAAAAATAATCTTACTAGTATATAGTGTACCTATTTTAGATTTGCCAATAATATTAACTTAATATAAAAATATTGAAGTATTTTTTTTTGAAGTTTATGAGTTAAATTCTTTATTTGAAACAAAAAAAGCGCCAAATTTATCTATATTTCTTCTCTTTATAAACATATAGTAGATAAAACTTGTATATAAAATATTATATTTTATTATTCATAAATGTGACGCTTTTACACATATATTTTACAAAAAATCTAGAATTTGTGATGGAACACTTGTTTACTGATATTAAGATTTAGTTTTCTAAGTTTGAAAATTAAAAAAAAATTAAGGAGCTAAAGAAAAAAAATATAAGCCGAGGACGAAACGAGTGTAAGCTGGTATGGTAATACGATCTCTTTAGGTAGGTCATATAAGTATAAAGATATATATACATAGAAAATAGAGAAAAGAAGAGAACTAATTTTTTTTTTATACAACTTAGAATGGCAAACAATCTGACGGCCCACCTGATGGAAAGTGGTAACCGTCGCCTATAGACATGAGCAGTACCATGGACATAACAGAGTATACTGTTTCGCCCATGATACCCCCCAATGCGTTGCCATTCCTGAGGACTCAGGTGTTAATCTTCTATACCCAGTAAATTCACGCCATATCCCACCCTTCATACCGAAACACAGCCATGCAAACACAACTGCTTCACGGTAGAAACACGAATGGGACAGAGGTACCCAAGCAATCGACTTTTGTACAAAGTCTCCCTCTGGTGAATGAAATATGACAATTATTTTATGTCACAAAAATAATTTTAATAAAATGAAAATAGTAATTGAAAAGGTGCGTCAGTTAAGCATTCAATTAAAAGTGCAGTGCTGTGCAACAAGATAAAAGAAAGTAAAGGTAGGCACAGGTAATGCAATACAAGGTTTTATTGTGTAGTGTAGGAAGTTAATCCATAAATCGCTCTAGTTGATGTATCTGACAAAAATTTTTAGTGCCTGTACTATTCCTGTAAGAACTGAATCTGTGTTTGCATGTTTATTTATCTATTTTATTTTTCTAGATAAATTAGAAATATAAAATAGAGACAGAATATAGAGAAAAGTCACAATTTATTTATACAGAGGCATAACGTCTCAGTACTTAGGAATGACAACGAATGAAAGATACCATGGGCGATAAAGTATCCTCTGTTATGTCCATGACAGACATGAACAGTACTGTTCATGTCTATAGGTGATGGTTACCACTTTCCGTGGTAATTATATTTGCATAAAAAGAAAGGAGGCAACCATATGATTTACAGTTTTTATTTTATCATTCCTTCTATGTAGTTCCTTGTGACCCTAAGTCACATTGAGAATAAATTAATATTGTCTGTCTTTAATACTATTTGTCTATAGTCTTACTAAATGTCAAACTTAACCATAATAAATTCATTTATTACAATTTATATTATAGTCGAATTTCGACCACTGATTTACCACTAGCATAATTAAATTGTCATAAAATGTTCTGGTATTTTTGATAATTATTCACCGTTAGAGATTTATCTGGTAATTACATTATTAAGATATATTTATATAGTTCTGACTCAGAATAACGAGAAATTAGTTGATAGTTGATAATGGTACAAGTTTTTAGAACAGTGGAAACTCAGAACGCGCGACTTCGGTTTATTTCTATGATCGAATTTGAACTTTTTTGTGAAATGTACATGGAAACGAATTGGCGCGACTTAAATTTGAAAATTAAACAATTTAGAAAACCAAACAAGCTGACGGCCTAACTGATGGAAAGTAGTAACCGTCGCCTATATACATGAGCAGTACCATGGACATAACAGAGTATACTGTTTCGCTTATGATATCCCCCACGCATTTCCATTCCTCAGATGTTATTCCTCTGTATCCTGTAAATTCACTGCCATATCCCACCCTTCGAACTAAAACACAGCCATGTGAACGCAACTGCTTCACGGTAGAAACACGAATGGGACAGAGATGCCCAAGCAAACGACTTTTGTACAAAGTCTCTCTCTGGTCAGATAAAAATCTAGAATAATTATTCACTTTACATTGATACAAAATTCAAATCCAAATGCAAAATGGGTAATTGGCATTTAAATAGTCATTTATTTTATAATATGCTTTACTACCCGTTAGTTTAGTTCCCGTGTGGTCCCGGCATAGAATAGGCCACCAATTCTTTTTTCGTGGGTATCGTAAGAGGCGACTATGGGAACTTAACGTTCGAGGGATGGACAGCAACGTCCCTCTTAAAACATCCCCAACGCCTAACTGCGGTTGCCAAGCCGCCTGCCAAGCGTGGTAGCTACCGGCAAAACCCTCCTTATGGGGAAGCCCAATGTTCAACAGTGGACAATTAAAGGCTGATGTGATATGGTATACTTTATTATTACATATATATATATATATATATATATATATATGTATTTTCATTGTTGATGTGCTTTGTTTTGATATATCATCTTGAAATGCTTATTTACTTTCAACTAACTTTTGAACGAATGAATGAAATGAAAAAAATGAGCTAGTACTGTCTATCAGTTGATTATTTATTGTCATTCTCTCCTTTTGTATGTGTGAAAATTTGAAGTTGTATGTATTTTTAATGATAAATCCAAATAAGATAAAAATAAAAAAAAATGTCAAAGAATAAATTTTTTTTGGCGTGGTTCACCCTTCTCAATGAGGGGTATGAAAAATAGATGTTGGCCGATTCTCAGACCTATCCAATATGCACACAAAATTTCATTAATATCGGTAAAGCCGTTTCGAAGGAGTTTGGTAACAAACACCGCGACACGAGAATTTTATATATTAGATATGTTTATATACTTTAGTGTCTGTATAATAGTGCGCCACCAACCCTTTGTCTTATTCTCAATGTCCTCTACCCAAAGATTGTCTGGAAGAGATTGCTTAGCGATAAGGCTGCCTTTTGTATCATTTCTTATTAATAATTTTTTTAATTCACTTTTTTTACGTAGTGCAAATATGTGTAAAATTAATAAATAATAAATAAATAAATAATTTCAGCCATTTTTTTCTGTTGTGTAATTGAAAACGAACTTTGGTTTTTTTTTAATGAATGATAATGGAATGGTAACCCCGCCTGCGCTAACGGTATACACTGGCAGGGCACCAAAGAGAGATGATAGGTGAGAATAAAAAAGCAGGTCAGTTAGCCCATCGTGATGACCTGGAATTCAGCACGATGGTTTCTAGGGCGGACCACGTGGAAGTCGACCTGGTTGGGTATATTGCTAACAATGGGACTGGTAGTTTGCATTACTAACAATCCCCTTTCCACTTGACTTAGATTATAAATGGATATAGTAAATAATTCCTAATATTTTAACAATAACTTATTTATAAGTTAACGGGGGAAAAACTCTAACATTAGCATAGATAAAAAAAGGTATGACTCTTTCTAGGCTGTCACTAATTACTTACGTTATTAAGCTAAATATCAAAACGTCCCCCTTCCCCCTCTAGCGACCGCAAGTTTAGACTGCACAAAAAATACCTATAAACATATTTGGAAAATTCCATATTACATTTCTGTTTACACCAAAGATGCGCGTTCGCAGGTTTTTTACCTTTACCCAAAATAGAGGTAGGAAAACATCGAATGCTCATACGTTGGTTTTTCTAATTATTTTTGTTAATTCGATATTACACAAGTTGATTTAATATTTTTGTTTTTTTTTTTTTTATATTACAAAGATACAGCCTGTCTGATGGTAAACTGTCATTGTAGCCTATGGACACTTGCTACACTAGGGGTTAGTAAGTACCAGAGGGAGACTTTGTACATAAGTCGTTTGCTTGCGTACCTCTGTCCCATTCGTGTTTCAACCGTAAAGCAGTTGTGTTTGCATGGCTGCGTTTCGGTTTGAAGGGTGGGATATGGCGTGAATTTACAGGGTACAGAGGAATAACACCTGAGTCCTCAGGAATGGCAACGCATCGAGGGTATCATTGGCGAAGCAGTATACTCTGTTATGTCCATGGTACTGCTCATGTCTATAGGCGACTGTTACCACTTTCCATCAGGTGGGCCGTCAGCTTGTTTGCCATTCTAAGTTGTATAAAAAAAAGTACATATTAGTACATAGTATTATTTATTACTCACCACAAACAATGAAGGAACTTACTACCTATAATATGTAGCCCTTTTAACAATATTATTTGTGGGAGCTGGTGTCTATACAAGGTGTTCAACCTGTATTACAATGGACTTTACCAGGATATTTAAAGATTGTAAAACCTTAAATTTTGTATATTGGTATTTTGAGAACGACTGTTAGTGAAACTTAGAAGATGGATAAGTATTAATTTATTGAAACGACTGTGTACCAGCTATGTCCTGCGGCTTCATCCGTGGTAGCATCGTGATGCTGAATAGCCTATAATCTCAAAAACGAGTAATAGTTTAATGTATGTAATTTGTATGTAATTTTAGACATAGTCATCATTCAAATAAATATATGTGTACATAATATATATATATATATATATATATATATATATATATATATATATATATATATATATATATATATATATATATATATATATATATATATATATATATATATATATATATATATATATATATATATATGTTAACAGAGATTTAATAGACTAACTGTTGAGTGTCTTGCGTGGTGTTCTCATTAGATAACAGCTTCCTGAATTCTGCAGTAGATTTAAAAACATTACGATTTAAAAATGCTACAAGCATTCTATTTATGTAAAGATGATGTGAAGAGTTCGTCGGATAAAACAATAAAAATATAAGATACTGAATAAAGATATATTATATTGTTCCCTAGTACAATAATAGATGTTTTAAAAAGTAATGACGTTTCTCTAAATAAACAAAATACTCAATTGACATAACAAGAAAAATGAATAAATTCTATTTTTAAAAATAACCTAAATAAAATCTCAACAGATGATATGAATTTAGAATTTAATAATATAATTAAAATATTAAAAAGTTTTTAAATCATTTATCTAACCATCTTATTTTAATTACCATATAGTTTGAATATTATTTACAATTTGCAATTAATAATTGTCAAGTATTCAATCATAAATATATATATTATTTTTTATTTCTTATAAGTATTTAGTCAAAAGCAGAAACGTATACAGTTATATATATTAAATACGTTTCCAGTTAGATAAAATTTGTCACAAAAGACTTCAAAGTGAAGACAGGCCAAGTTTATCTCGTTAAACGAGTATCAAATGAGCACTGCTATCAAAATGTCGTTATTTAGATTCCATGTCGGATACAGGGGTTTTTATATAAATTTAATTACATTCTCGGTATTGCGCGCGTATTGGGAAATTATTACTAAAATATTAACCTACAAATATTAAATTTTATGCTTCATACAAATTCCGAACATACGCGATCAACTTAGTATGGTTTATTAAAAAATATATATTTTTATATTTATACTTTGTTTATTGACCAGTTTACAAAAAAGAAAAAAAAAATGTTTGGTGCAAAAGGCGCTCTTAATGTTTCGCATGTAGCATTCTTTTCTAGTCAACCTTAGGTATTGTGGGTGATCATGGACGGCGGTAGTCACTTACCATCAGGTGAGCCGCATGCTCGTTTGCCCCCTGTGTTGTAAAAAAAAAACCTATACTAGTTTTAATTAGATTTTGGACTAGTTTATATTTTATACTAGTTATTAAACGTGACTTCTATGTAAGCATCATATTTGATTGACTAGACTAAAAAGTAGCCTATGTCCTTCTCTTTTCTAAATAATGTCAGCCGCTGTCGTATAAATTCTGGAAAAAGGTCACCTTTGTGTAGACTTGTGAATTCATATAACGCTTTATTTAATGATGTTGATATTATTAATGAACGTCCAAGTACTTTTAAAAAGTTAATCTCTATAAGATTTTTTTTTTATTTTATTTATTTATTCATTAGTACATATATGTGTACATGGCGGACTTAATGCTAAAAGTATTCTCTCCCAGTCAACCATAGGGAAGTGTCAGAATACTCGAATGCGGTACTACTAATTATTGATATATATACATACTAAAATTACATATATAAATGAATAAATATATATAAATAACAAATATACTTACACATATATGATATATACTATATTATACACGAATTTGGGAATAACATAAAGCACTTATTGCTCGGATAAAGATACAATTTTTTAACTGTTCTTCTTTGCTTAAGCTATTTGTATTATATTTGAATCGAAACTGTGGTAAACGGTGTTGGTGGCAAATTTACTCAATGTTTCCTTTGACTAATATTTTGTATTATTCTTTATTTTGTCACTGTTAGTTTTCCCAAATAAATGAAAAAAAAAATATGTGTATATCAAATTTTATACCGAATAGATATATAGAGAGTAGATAGAGAGTAGTTATGGTGTCGGAGAGTTAAACGACCATACAAATTTATTAATATTTTATAATATTAATAAGTTTTTTATGTAATAACTAATTATGAATAATAAGTGTGTTATGCTAACTCACCCATCATCATTATTTCAGCCTAACTATCAGTTCACTGGTTACTATTAAATATGGACTACTCCCATAGTCTGTATTTAACATTGCCAATCTATTCATAAAAGGGGAGGAAAGGTATTGTTAGTAATGGAGTTTGACAGCCCTATTACTAGCAATATAGGGCATATTGCTAGGTCAGGTCGACCTCCACGTGGTTCCCCCTGGAAACCATCGTGAACAATTCTTGTTGAATTCGTCACGGTGGGCTAACTGACCTACTTCATCTCCTCACCTATCATCCTTCACTGGTGCCCCGCCGGTGTATACCGATAGCACGGGTGGGGTTACCATTCCATTATCATCCATCAAAAAAAAAATCTATTCATAATACTAGTTAATATAGTATTAATATACTAGTTAATGTAACGACACTATGTCTGAACATGAGTTATATTTAAAAAAAAAAATGTGTAGACCACACCAGTAGTAAAACCAATAGATACTAAAATATTAATTATTATAAATTCTCATACTAGTATATACTCGTAGTTATATATTTAAAGGAGTAATTGTTCATAAAAAATAAATTGTGTTCTGTATCATTCTATTGTGTTCTAAAATCTACATGAAATGGAAAAAGACAGAAGACATTTGTCATATGACTTCTTAGTCTAAGTTTTTTTCGTCTATGGCAACATTTATGGTTTATAAAAAAGAAAAATATTGTACTTAGTATACAATTGCAAATGGCGGCAGTGTAGGTATCTTTTACCGCTCCTCCATTGTAATAGAATAAAAAAAAAATCTTTATGTATTTTACTAATCACATACGGTAAGTATTAACTTAACAACATTTTTTTTCTCATGTATATTCATAGTCAATAATTAGATATTTTTGCTTTAAATTGTTTTTCGCAAGATGACAAAAAAAAATTCTTTGTCACAGAATTAATATGGCGTCAATACGGGAGTAAACCTTATCTATAATAGCATGAACAAAATCAATTCAGCATGAGCGAAGATAAAGCGTAACATACACAAAAATATACCGTTTAACTGAAAACCTTCTAATTTTTGAAATAGTGTAGTGTTTGTGAATAAATATTGTATCTTGTAAGTCTGTAGACTGTAGTAAACATCAATACTTACTTTTCCATTAAGTAGGTTAATTAAATTACACAGCAATTATTTTTTGTAAATTTTGCAAATATTTGTGTGGCTATCATATCTTTTATTCTAACTGCCCGCACAGACATAGCAGCGACGTTTCTTCTAGTATTTTCTGTCATTCCCTCTATCGCGATCGCTCTCCTTTCATACTGCATATTACATCATTTATATTTTTTTCCATTGTTATACAATCATACTTACATTTTAGAAGGCAGAGGCTCGTCTACAGGGCGAACATAAACAGGCCCCCCATTAGTAGGAGTCCCCTGAATTGGCCTCGTGATTGTGGTATCTTGTGGCCTCAGACCATCGTACAAAGTTGGTCTATCTGGCGTTTTGTTTGGTCTCTCAGTTGGCCTCGATGGTCTCTGCACTGATGGTTGATTGATTGGCCTCTCTGGTTGTTCGGGTCTTTCTACATCAGGTCTACTTGGTGGTGGCCTCGTCTGAGGCCGGGAAGGTGGTCTGCCTGTCGTTTGAGCGCGGTTTGGCCTCTCCTCTTCTTCATCGGGTCTATATATGCCCGTAGCTGGACGAGGGATGTCGGCATTGCAAATCTCTCTACCATTTAGTCTAATGGCTTTAAGTTTTGGAGCTGGTGGGTTTAAAGGACTGTACTGTACAAAGAAACGAACGGCTACCGCAGGCCCAGGGTGTATCTTCATCTTGGTATTTTCAACTTTAAAGTCAATATTGTCTGTTGTCGATACGTCTCCTACCCAGTTCTGTTAAAGAAAAGTATACATAAATTAATATATTTAGAAATCATGAAGGTATATTGCTGAAAAAGTCTGTGTGATTCGCTTGCTTAAGTATCATCGGGTTACACATTTTTACCACGAAGTAACAATGCATGTGTTTCAGTCATGTTTAGGTTCATTCTTTGACACAAAAATTGTGCCACAGAATCAAGCTTGTTCTAGAAAGTACACTGGCTTTCTTACCTTGCAGAGCCAAATACAACAATGCATGTACTTTATGATACCATTAGGAACGACGCCTAATCAGGTGATATATAAAGCTAGACAACTAGTTTTTATAAAAGCTTTCGAGACAAAGTCTCATCTATAATCCATCGTCAAGCTTGTATGTAATATAACACATATATTTTGTTTCAGTTTGAACTATTGACTCTAACTTCATGTCATTAGAGTTAGTCATGTGCGAGGCAAGCGCAAGTGCGGCAAAAGCTCATGGCATCAAGCACATAATATCTGTTTGCCATTAAATTGATCCTTGTTAGGTGGTCAGTGTTATAAAAAAAATTACTTTGTTAACCATTAACTATAAAACATTACGCAATCTTACCCCTAGAATATCGGCCTTCTTATCCAATACAATATTCAGCCATAACGAGTGAAGCGTACTATCAGTCGACAGGTTCACCACACCGTACCACCTCCCTGGCTCCGTGCCTGGCGGTTCGTACATGAACACGTTGGGACATGGCGACAGGGGCGTGGACTCTTGTGTGCGACCAGGACCAACCACCACAGCCGTGACTAGTAAGCAGGTTAAGGCTCTAATCTGGAATATTAGAATATTTTCTGTAAGTGAATGTGAGTCTGAATGATGAATGATAATGATATGGTAACACTGATTGCGCTACAAGTATACATCGTAGAGGTAAATTACAGTACAGTGATCATTCTCTGTTGATAAGTTAGGATGAAGTCAAACCAGTTGGTTTATCGTGATGACTACACCAGGCATTAACCATGATGGACCATGCATAAGTCGATCTGATAAGGATATGTTGCTAGTAATATGACCATTAGACCTCATTTTTTTTATACCACTGAGGTAGCAAAGAAGCATACGGCCCACCTGATGGTAAGTGGTTACTGTAGCCTATGAACACCTGCAATACCAGAGGTATTACGCGTACGTTGCCGACCCTGAAGAAACCTCTTTACCCCCCTCAACAATCTCTTCTCTCCTTCTCGGGTTTTCTGTATTAGCAATTAGGATTGGGAGCAAAGGCGGAAGAGGAATGTCAGTAACAGGAACTAATGGTTACATTGTTAGCAATAAGGCCTGCCAGAATAATTTCTTAAATGGTCTGGCCGGAAAATCATCATGGTTAATTCCAGGTAAATTAGATAAAAACTGATCTGACTTAATCCTTTATTCACTTATCACCCGTGTCGTTCCGGCATAGAATGGGTCACCCCTTACTTTTCCTTGCGTGTCATAAGAGGCTACTAAGAGAATTCAATGGTCAAGGGAAAACCAGCAGCGCCCCTCTTAAAGCATCACCAAAATCTAACTGCGGTTGCCAACCTACCTGCCTAGCATGGCAACTATTGGCAAAACATCCTTTATAGGCGAGACCTATATTCTGGATGATATGATGTCATCATTCACTGAATTCCATCCCATCAGGGAAAACAAGTATCTCAAACGTAGCTAGAACTCTATTTTTCCATTAAAAATATTGTTTGTAGGTTTTTGTATTTTATGAAAAATTATTAATTCACTCTTGCGCCACCTATCCACTTCTATATGTTCTCCTTTAACCGAAGGTTGTGTGTAAGAGATTGCCCTAGCGATAAGACCGCCTTTTGTACCTTTATGTGTATTTATGTTACTGTATTTCACTTGAAATATTCACTAGTCATTGTATATTTTTGTTTATGGTGCACCATAAAGAATTAAATAAATAAATAAGTTACTATGATCATTGAATTTGACAAAGACTTCATAATTCCAACAGAATCTCGTCAAGGAATTCAAACCGATCATTATTAAATAAGTTGACAAGTTATGCGACTTTGGAAATGCGAAATTCGTACTTATAAGAAGGAACTGATACTAATCTAAGTTCCAGCACCAAGTGCTGGAACTTAGATTAGTATCAGAATTCCGAAAATGAATCCTAAATTAGATTTCGCTGCAGACGGACAAAGGAAACGAATGTCACATATCTAAATATCCAGTATGCATTATATTAGATTATTTAATTAGTTTCAGAACGGTATTTGTCATTTATTAAATCGTTTGTTATGCAAAATGAGTTGAAGTATAACATTTAGTCAATACATTTATTTATTTTTAGTTGGCACAAATAATTCTAGCTAGTTTTTTTATCGAAAGTCATTTAAAGATAATACAAACGTCATTAAGGACGTATGCCCACAAAAAGTTTACTTCAATTCTGACAATACCAGTTATTATGTTTTAAAAACTAAATAACTAAACTGATTTTGATAAAATTTTAGGACTAATCTGTAAGTATATCCTTTCAGATGAAAAAAGATATTTTTTCAAAAAGATTTGGTTGTATTTTTTTATGTTGGTTACGTCATAACTTCGTCAGTTGTTATCGAATTGAAAAAATGTTTTTTTATCTCGTCTTTCTTTGAGGGGGGAAAAGGATTAATAGTAATAGGTCTAACTGCTCCCCGATGATAGCAATATACTCTATCGGGTCGACCTCCATGCGGTTCCTTCTGAAAATCATCGTGGTTAATTCTTGTTGAACTCGTCACGATGGGCCAACTGACCTGTTTTCATCTAGTACCCCGTCAGCGTATACCGATAGCGCAAGCGGGGTTACCAATCCATTATCGACCATTTGATAAAATACGTACGTATACATTATGAGTGAGCTCGATAAAAATAATATAATGACACATGGCGTGTGGGAATCCCGCGACACCAGTTTCGTACGAAACTAGTTTTGTGCTTGTGTGAATATCCTTGCACGTAAAAAGTACAAAAACGAGTCTGTCTGCCTTGTTGCATCGTAATATTAATGAATTATTAGAGAATTATAGGCTGGTTATATTAAAAGAATCATATTATCGTTTGACATTTTAAGTTGCATAAAGAAAAAATATTAACTCTTACGACTTTCATGTTGCACGGTTTATGGTTTATGAGAAATAAGTATTGACAAGATAATTTAGGTAAATTATAATAAATTTGTCTGGGTTTTCTCGATGTTTCGCGTCTAGACCCTTTAGACAATTTACAAGCGAATTTAATAACGGAATCGTCATAGTTAGCGAGTCAATAAGATAGAATGAGACATCGGATGTTGTTATCTTATTCTGTCTCATGAAATTGTTACACAAGGTACAAATGAATTTATCGATATACTTTGCTTTAGTTAACGCTCAAATAAGAGAGAACAAGATAGCGCACGTCGTCATCTCATTCTATCTCATCTAGTGATAAAAATTCTATAAATAGACTCATTTGTACTTTGTCTAAGGGAACAAGTTCTCTAGACAAGCGACAAGAGAATACATCGACGGGATCGTCATTACTAGTGAGTCAATGAGATAGAACGAGACACCAGATGTTGCTATTTTATTTTGTTTCATCAACTCGTTAGACAGGGTAGAAATGAATCTATTTACAGAGACATCGGACATTTTAATCTTATTCTGGCTCTTGGACTTGCTAAACAATATAAATATAATAGAATAGCTTCAGTCAGCGTTCATATGAGAAAGACCAAGATAGCGCATGTCTCCATCTCATTCTCTCTGATCTAGCGATAATATTTCCATATATAGATTCGTTTGTACTTTGTCTAAGGGGCAGGTTCTCTAGACAAGTGGCAAACTAATAAATCGACAGGATCGCCTTCGATGGCGAACTCACGTGTTTAAACGAGGCAGTAACGTCCGATGTCACAATCAAAGTTATGGACTTTTGCCACTTGTCTAGAAGAGATTGTCTAGGATCTAGCATGAAATGAACTTATGAATTCGGAATCGATTTCGTGTTTTTTTTCGTACGGAAATCGATCCAGTAAATAGAGCTTAACATTTTGTTCGTCATAAATCCTACCATAAAAGTCCAAAGGAATGATATTTTAATATTTTTAATGCTTTTAAACGGTATGTAATATTTAATTTTTCTTTATCTTTGAAATTTGTTTCGTTTAGACTCGAAATTTCGAAAAATATTACTCAGGTTACACCGGCCGTGGTCACGAATAGATTACTCGTTTCCCTTAATTAACGTCTCTTGTAAACTTTAAATGAATCATATTGTGATTCTTTTAAAGATGCTCTTTTAAAAAATATTATTCTAAGAACCAATAGGTATAAATTTTTCATGAAATTCAGAATGGAAATAATGGAAAGTGGCCACTGTCATTTAGTACAGACGTTGTGATCTCAATGGTGCTATTAAGGGGGGAAATGGATTGTTAGTAACGGAGACTAAGAATAGCATAGCTAACAATATACCCAACCAGGTCGACCTCCTCGCGGTTCCCCCTGGAAACTATCATGGTTAATTCCTGATGAATTTATCATGATGGGCTAACTGACCTGTTTTCATTCTCATCTATCACCCTTCACTGGTGCTCCACCAGCGTATTCCGTTAGCGTAGGCGGGGTTACTGCCAACACTCGAAGATTTACTACTATTATCGACTATTACCCGGGGTGAACAGTTTTTTTTAATGGGTGACGATAGAATGGTAACCCCGCTTGTGCTATCGGTATACACTGGCGGGGCACCAGTGAGGGATGATAGGTGAGTATGAAGAGACAGGTCAATTAGCCCATCGTGAATGAATACATTTGGAATTCAGCACGATGGTTTCTAGGGGGGACCACGTAGAGGTCGACCTGGTTGGGTATATTGCTAGCATTGGTTTCCATTATTAACAATCCCTCTCTCCCGTGGTGGACAGTTACTTTCCATCAGGTGGGCCGTCAGCTTGTTTACACGACAGAGTATTATAAAAAAAAAGTTATTATTTCCCAGATTAGTTCAGTAACTGGAATTCAACCACAGATGATATTATAATTTATAAAATATACGCTTTCAAAGTGATTGTGGTCGATACGTTATAATCATTTACGATTGAGTATATATTAAATATGGAATTTTTCCTCTTTGTATATACTTCGTGTATAGTTTACAATATATTTATTCGTTCCAATAAAATTTAATGATAACGCAAATAAACATGTAATTTACTTGATCATAAAAGGATCTACTGATGATCAATCGTACATATAATAATTGACTGAATGTTACGATTCGTTACTAATTTTACTTCGAGTGTTTTTTAAAAATGTTTTTTAATGAAACTTAGGATGGCAAACAAGCTGACGGCCCACCTGATGGAAAGTGGTAACCGTCACTTATAGACATGAGCATGGATATAACAGAGTATACTGTTTCGCCCATGATACCCCCCATGTGTTGCCATTCCTGAGGACTCAGGTGTTATTCCTTTGTACCGAGTAAATTCACTGCCATATCCCTTCAAATCGAAACACAGCCATGAAAATACAACTGCTTCACGGTAGAAACACAGAGGTGCCCAAGCAAATGATTTTTGTACAAAGTCTCCCTCTGGTGAAATATATAAATAAATAAGTACGTATATACATATATACATATATATATATATATATATATATATATATATATATATATATATATATATATATATATATATATATAGATTTATACGGGTAAAGCTGTGTAATATAGCTGGTACAAAATTTACGCAATTATTTTTTATACCACTGTGGTGGCGAACAAGCATA